GGATAGATACGACGAGAACAAAACAATAATCAGGATGATCAGCATCCCTACGAATATCGTTGGCAAAAACACAAAAAATATTACAAGACACCGCGACTGCATGGCGTCGGCCGAACGTGTGTTCTCTATGTACAAGAAATCAAAATGAGAAAACATCTCTATACATGAGTGTGTGTGTGTGTTTTCGTCCTCTTTGTTATGGCAACAGTCCCCCCATTTTTCGTGGTGAGACGTGTGCTACATTTTTCAGCGTATGTAGAGTACTACAGTTTACAGTGTATTTTTTTCATACAACTACATCCATCCAGGGTCACACAGGAGGGGGTAAACACCAGGGCTTTTTTGTTCTTTTTATTTCTATTCATGCCCCATCTTCCTCCTGCGGTGCGTGCTGAAATTTCAGTTTTATCGCGAGAAGGGTCCAGCCGTCCCTTTCCCTCGTCAACGGTGCCAACGTCAAAGTCTGGTACTCACGAGAGCTTTTTAGCTATAATATTTCGCTTTCACCCGCAATTTTCGGACATTTTTCACCCCATGAGGATTCGAACTCACGACCTCTGCAACTAGCGGATTACGAGGATACCACTAGACCACCGGGGCGACGGGATGAGTGTACGACAACACAAAACGTCATCCAATCGCGTCCGACCAACCAAAAAGAGCTCAACATCGAAGGCATTACGGGGGGTGGGCGCATCGCATCCAACATAACCAAGCGGTTAGCAAACAACAGTAGCACTCACTCGAATACGTTGTTGGTGCATCGTCCCGTGAAGGGCTCCACTAGTGGCTCGTCGGCCCCCAGGTAGAGGTAGATCTCCCGTTGAGTATTGCCCTCGAAAACATTGTTGAAGAACTAAACGGGAGGGAGTCGTCGGAATCGAGGTTGTAGCGGTGGCGGTGCACAGATACGTTGGCGGCAGAGAGGGGGGCACCGTCGTTCATTGTTCATTGTTCATTGTCCGTTCGTTCGTTCCTTGTGTGTGCATGGGTTTCATCGGAAATCGCAACCACGGGAGAACAAGGCAACGACAACTCGACCTACCCCAGAATACCGGGAACGAGGAAAAACCCGCACCCAAACGAATGGGAAACGGTACGGTTTGTATGCATATACCCGTGGGAAGGAAGCGAGTGAGTTTCTTCTACTGTTGCAGCATTGACTGACTGCGCTGACCGGTCGACGAGCGAAAAGCCGTCAGTCACAGTACCAGATTGGAGGCCTAAACAACAGAAACACACGCTTGCTTGCCAGNTGACAGGGGGAGCCGCCGAGGACATTTGACGAGCGGGTACAGCCCCCGAACTCTCGCTAAATGGGAAGAGACACGGCGAAGACTGCCACGCAACTACTGCTGTACCCCCCCAGCGGCAGTACCTACGTCTGTGTTTGTGCGCGCTCGCAGCCGCGCGCTCACACGCTGCTCTGGATACCACGCAATACCTCTGCTCCCTGCGCTTACACGCGCATTCGCATATCCTGTCTAGCAGAACATGCACGATGCTGCCACGATTGGCTGTGCTGTTGCCGGCTAGACTCGTCCCGAAACGGCGGTCCGGAGTCAACACATGGGATGGTAGGCCATGCGTGCGATCGACGGCGACTTGCTTTTGCTTGCTGGCTTTACCTGGTTGTTCGTCGAGCCCACGGTAAGCCTCGCCCCCCACGTGTTGCCTTCGAAGACGTTGTCGCTGACGACCACACGGTTCGTCTCGATGAGGGAGACGCCGGCACCCGCGCTGCCGGAAACCACGTTCCCTATACCGGGAGGCAGACAACGACGACGACGACGACGGGTGCTTAAGACCTGGATACATACATTGGGGGTTGGCTGTTCTTTCGAACACCTGCCTGTCGAATGCCATTGGTGTTGTTGTTAGTGTCACTTCTGTTCTGCGAGTCATTTGCGTCTGATACTGCAGGTCGGCAGAATCCGTGTGAAGGAAGAAGCGACAACGGATAAACAAAGGGAAATATAGAAACAGAAGCAACAACTGGTTGAATATCACGTTCCCTGGGGAGGGGGGGGGGGGGG